CTCCTGTGGTGAGGCAGGGGTGGTGGGCAGGAGCACCTGCCTGAAAACCTGGCTGATGCAGACTGGCCACCAGCGTGGGCAACTGCTGCAGAAGCAGGGCAAGGGGATCATCAGTAAGTGGGACTTATTCCTGAAGCACACATGTGGGAATATGTGATTTTAGCTTGAGAGTATGTAAGCACTGTGTCAGTGGAGGCAGTTGCTGGGTGCTTTGGCCACAGGACCTGCCCTGAAGGTTGCAGGTTTCTTGTTCCAGCACCCAGGAGTTAGTTAGTTAGTTACCCTAAATACTTGCAAGATTAAAAAGAAGAAAAAAACCCTTCTTGATGGGACCCTTTAAAAATAATTCCTCAGTTGAAAGACTGATGTTTTGTTTCAGATAAAGAGCTATTTTTGCAAGGTAGTCAAAAGGAAAGCAACTTATGTTTTATGGCCTCTGTTGCCCCCTCCAGTCCTACATTAATAGTTGGTGCTGTTTGGAAAACAACAATCCTAGGAAAACCTGCACTAATAATACTGTCTCAGGTTCATCATTTGATATACATCTGACATGCACTGGAAGTGAAAACTGAGGACAGAATTCCCTTTTTTGGCACTGCCAACTTTCTGTCAAGAAAGCAAAGGCTGTTTCTAGAGAAGACGGCTGTACAGGAGCTGCAGTGAACTCACACAGGCACTTCCTCTCAAAACTATCTGACCTGTGAGCACATGCATGCATGTGTGTAGGAAAAAAAGTGCACTTAAAAATTGGTAAGCAAGTCCCTTTTTGCCTTTGGTAGCAAGCCCAGGGACACACATGCTGACCAGATGTTTGTTCCCCACTGGAGGGATCTCCAGCTTTACTGTGCTCGCAGAAGAGGAGGCTCAGCTATGGAAATAAACAGAAAAGCACTAACCCTGCACCTTTTTAAAGCCATGTCACTGTGGTAATAACCAACATATAGTATCATTACCTTATTTAGTTATCTACTGATTAATTTTTTCAAGCCATATAGATAGGGCACCTTCAGTAATTTCATATTGGAGAGTGTTGCTTCCTTGGGGAGGCAATTCTAGAGACAGAGGGGGAGCCAAGAGCTAGCCATGCTACTCCCAGTGCAGACAGGGTGAGCAGGCTATAGAAATCTATACCTGGATGAAACAGACAGGGGTAACCTCTCCTACAGAGATGCCTTCCTCATGAAAGGACACAAAGGAAAAGAATTCAGAACAGCAATGACACATCGACCCTTTAAAGTCCAAAATAAGTTTTAACACTCAGTTCCTCCAAATAAGTTTTCTAAGTGAAGGTGTATTTAGAAAGGCAAAAGCACTCTCCTCTTCCCTTCAGGAGCTTTGCTGTGCACTCCTGCCATGCTTTACAGACTGCATCCAAAGGATCACATCTCCTGAAAATGGCCAGGCAGAAGTGACAGTACATTGGTGGTGCTTGTCCCACCCCATGACTGGGTATGTAACAGGAGGTGGACAGAAGTGTTTACATCTTTTCAAAGGATTTAGAAATTAATAGGCACAGTTTTCTCTCTTTGAAATAATCATTAGGGACACTAGACACCTGGGCTACAAAGGTGCTCTAAACTGGGAACTGGAAAGGCCAAGTGACCAAGGGGGGGGCAAACCAGCATATCAGGACATGTGTCTCTACAATAGGCAAGAGTGAAGTCTGACCCACACCCACCCCTCACACATTCCTCTTGTCCAAAAAAGCTTGGGCTTGCATTTCTTTCTGATGTTCTTTAGATTTAACTTCACTGTCCCATGTCTTCAAGCCCACTTGCTGGCTTTGAAAGCCTGAGAGATCTGAGAGACTTCCAGCAAATTTCAAATAATCAGTGACAGCTATGCAAGACAAAAGCTGAACATTCCCTGTCTTCCTTTTTGCCCCTGAGTAGGATCCTTACCAGCTAGTTTTGGTGGTAATACAGATGCATGTGGAAATGTAACACATTCCAGCACAGCCTGCCAGTGGGGCCAGAAAAGGCAGTTTGGCAATGATGAGGTTAAATAGATTCAATGCTGGAGAAGTGTATTTGGTGAAAGCATATTTTAGCATAGAAGTTTTTTACCTTGATGCTAGAGGAGAGAAAGGATGATTGCCAGATTGACAGTTAGGAAAAATATCATCATAGCTGACAACTGAACAAACAAAGGATTAGCAAGGTAAATCTGGAACTCCGATATATCCAGGCTTACGCTATCATTCCAGAGTAGAACAGTCTACTCAGGAAAAAACAGATTTTCAAGAAAATTATAGCAATTTTAAAAATAGCCTTTGATGTTTAAAATGCATATAATTAATGACAAAAGTTTTCAAAGATACAGTTGGATTAGTTCTGCTTGGATTGGTTCTCTTGTTCCTGTGATTCTCTATCAATCATGAAAGCAAAAGAAGAAATGAAGTAATTTGTGGAGTAAAAATGGTTATCTGCATTGAAATTAGAGATGAATTTTACCTATTACTTGAACAGTAAGTTTGGTTATTGCAGGCACTGTACAGTCAGACTTTTTATCAAGTGCAACAGACATTGCTGCTACCTTGATGATTCTATGATTCCATACACTTTAGCACATGTTTAGTACACCAAATGTGCGTGCTTTGAGAAGCACAAACACTGCAGAGTGAGGGAAGTCTCCTCTGAAGCCTGCTATCCCAGTCTTATGGATGAAAGAGAAGTGTATTTGATCCCTGTTGCAAGGCTGGAGGTTTCAGGCTTGTCCAACTTGTCACTCTAGTGATTCATTTAGAGTGCTCAACAATGCAATTTAACAACCATTTTAAACGGGCCCAGGTAGGGGCTGCTGTGTGGAGAGGAAGTCCTACCTTCTCTTCAGCATGTTGGCATCACTACTAGTGTAGTAATTCAGATGAAAGAACTACCTGAAGCCTTTACTAGGCTCCTACCCAAAGCTTAGTAAAACCCTGGGGCAAGGCAGCAAGGGGTTGGCACAGTTTGCAGCTGTGACTTACCTCACCATTCATCTGAACAGCTCTTATTTCTGACACAGGCTGGGGGAGCAGCAGCACACATAGACTGTGTATCCACTTAGAGATTCTGCCAGTCACAAAGTCCAGGAGCAACCATCACGTGGATGACACCAACCCACTGGCACCAAAGGACCAAGGGAACACTTCCCTGGGACTGGCAGCACACACAGGCATTGCTTCCTTCACTCCTGTGCCTGAGAAACCGTGGTGGTCTGAGAACAGATTGCAAAAGGCAGATCTTTCTGTATAGCAAGTAAAACAGATACAAAAATATTCTTGGCCTTCTTACTTGATTTTAAAAAAGAAAAAAAATACAGCTGTAAAACCTAGCAACTTGGGGTTTTAACTTGAAAACCATGTTGAAACAAGCATTGCTGTTTAATTCATATGCTGCAAGGATTTCCACTTCTGCCTGAAAATTCCTAAATGTATGGTCTTACAGTGATAATCCATTTTTAAAAATAGGCAGCTGAGGCTATTCTCAAAAGGGAGTAGCTTGTGGATTTACATTGAAACTGATTCCAGTGCAAGAGAAAAAGGAAACAGATATTCAGGCTCACCTGATATGCACAACAGCAGTGACAACTTCTCCACTAATAAAAGACATGACACAATTAGATTGCTAACCTTTCCACTTTGGGAGTTTATCAAAAGAGCTCAGGACTTGAAATGAAGAGAGAAGAATCAGAGCTAAATTCTATTACAGAATTCTCCTATTCTCTACTTTCGTCTGAAGCTCTCTGGAGAAAGGGCACCCACCTCAGACCTAGGTGCAAGCTGCCTTGTTAGAAAAGCTTTGCTATTCAAATAGAAGGTGAGGGAACACTGTGAAGGATCAACCTCTAAAAGGTATCACGCGTTTACCTAACTGAACTGGAATAGGAGAGAATCTTTTAGTGTCTTGTAGTGGGAGCTAAAAGACAGCAGGGCCAGAGCACAAACAGAGCTGGAACTAGAAAAGAGAGAACAGTTGGCAAATAGAAAAAAGAAAGCCAAGGACAGGAGGAAGAAAACATGCCAAACAGGGACTTTAAAAGGGGAAACAAAACTGATGTTTTTCACAGTGAGCAAGATGACACAATTTCTATTGGCTTTTAAATAGATTGGAAAACACTACCTATTATAGGGCTTTGGTCCATTTTACAGAGAACATATGGTCCAAGCACTAAGCAGGTATGATCTGAAAGTAGCCTCAGCCTAACAGGCACATAAAATGCCAGGGGGAAAAACTGAAGAGCTCCCCCAGGTTGAAGTCTTGTGTCATTTGAAGATGCTCACTGGAGCGCACGGTGTGTCGCAGGGAGGATCCTCCATGCATCAAGGTGAGTGAGCTCTCTGGTGAGTGACAAAGGAAAACATTTGCTGTTATTTTTCTGAATCATCTGCTGTCTTGTGCTAAGTGCTTTAAAATCGCTTCTTGTGACAAATCATGCAAGTATCAAGGAGCACCCAGTGCAATGGGGAATCTGGAACTCTTCCCAGGCTCCATGCATTGCCCAACGCTGTAAATGAGCAGAACTAGACTACCCCAACTCACGCACCCTGAACATTCACTGCAACGATGACTCTTCCCCATACATCCCAGAGAATCTCTGGCAACTGTTTGTCTACTAAACCAGCCAACTTTTCCTTCAAGGCACGCAAAGTGCAGGAGATGCTGAGAAAGAACTATGAAGACAGTAGAGAAAACCGAAGAATGCTGTGTAAATATTTAACATGCTCTTCCCAAGCGCTACCAAGGTATATGCAAATGTCCATGTATTATGCAGAGGCAGAGTAATCAGGCTGCACTGAGAGCTGGAGTGGAAGGAATAGAAAAGGAGTAGTGAACGTTTAAGGAAACCTGAAGTCCAAGATAACAATACCATTGGCAAAGAGTATAGCAGCTTCTTTTCTCTAGATTGGCCTCAGAACATCTACTTTTGGTTCATCTTCAAGGCAGTCAGCCACATCACAAAAATGTGTTCACAAACCATCTATTTCCCCTGGATTCTTAACCAGGACACAGGAAAAGTTCCATTTAAAAATCATTTTATTATTAACATAATCTTCCCATTTAGCCAAGTGTGGGTCATGTATAAGGAATGTCGGTAAATATTCCATTTGAGGCTTCTTTTTACATATCTCCATTGATAAATAAACTCTGAATTCACATAAAAAAGTTAAACTTAAATAACTAATATATTTTTTGTAACAGGCATACATTGGTAAAATATAAATATTCTTGTACTCAGCCTTTGCTCTAGATAACAGTTAGCCACACATCACAGTTATTGACAACTAAAGACAAGAACTCAACTGATTTTCTGGCCTGGACTAAAATAGAGATGGAAACAGAAAATTCACATTCTGACTTTGGGCCAAAAGAGGTTGAGAGGCAGGAAGAGAACAGTTTTATTAACAGCCTTGTTAAAAATAGTCTGCTCTGCCACTGAATTTTAACTTACTCTACAATTGGTAGTCGATTCCATTATAATTTTATGTAACACTCAAGTATCACTAGCAAAATATGGCACATCATCCATGAACAATATAACGATGTTTTAAAACTAGCAGGGCAAAAAATGCAGGTGATATGAGTGATTTGGCTCTGGGTAGCCATTCTGTCCTCTCAGTCTAACATTAACATATTGTATCACCTCACTGTTTTGGCCACAATCTGGTGAAAGACTGGAATTTGTTACCTGTAGCTCATAAGTTTCTCAAACTAACCAGTTACCAGGCAGCCTGATACACTGGGTTTGCTCACCCAGAAGTCAGACCAAAAATCGGTTGATCGAGATGCCCTCTCAAAGGACTCTGGGAATGATGGTAAAAGGGACCACAGGACTGCTAGCTTCAAGCTCCAATGCCGTCAGGAAGCATTCAGTTGCGGCATCATCGTTGCCTTGAGCCTGCAGCACCTCTCCCAGACTGTTCCAGACCTCGTGGGCAGTGGAGTTCACCTGCACAGCATCTCTGAGAATCTTCTCCGCCAAGCTGTAGCGCCCGAGCTGGTGAAGTATCAGAGCCTGCAAGGAAACACAAGGGAAAATGGTTGAGATTGGCCAGCAGAACTTTCCTGAAGCTCAAACCATATGTTGCAGCAGTGAAATAAGCATGGGCAGCTTTTGGGCTCAAAGTGTTAGAGACTATGTAATCTTCTTTTTTGTCTTCTTTTTATTTATTTTTATTTATGTCTTTCAACACTAGAGACCATACACACAGCACCACTGGCCCTCAGGGATGGCAGCAGCAGTTCAGCCCAATGGGCAACAGCCACAGTGCTTGATTCAACCTGTGGAATGGGAAGTGTTCTGGGACTGATATTGCACCAGTAATTGCAGATAACTTCCTCAGGAGCGTCTTTGTCACAGATTCTGTCTTCTCTGTGAGACAGGATCCAATTCAGCACCACACAATCCAGAGCAAGTCCAAACCCACGAGGATATGGGCTGAATGAGGCCATGGAAATCTCCATCCATCACATTCAGCTGTGTTACTGTGCCAGCAAAGTCGTGGAATGACCCAGTAAGAGAGCTTTATTCTGGGATTATAGTAATCCTAATGATATTATGCATTTTTACATTGTGATTCTGTATTGCAAAATGCATATGCACCATAAATCTTTGTTTTCCAGGGAGGTGTCCTGATTACATGCTTACAGAGGCCTTGTGACTTCGCCCCCCCCAAGCCCCCACTCCTTGGGCCACAATTTCTTTTATCTCTCTCTGTACATCTGTCCCTCAAATCCTTATTAACCTAAGCGCCAATGATTAGAAAGTACTGACATGCTATGCAGCCCCTGAATTATCTACCATACATTGCTGGAACTGTGCCCACCAGGCTGCCTTTCAGCAAGGGAAGACTGCTAACTCCATCCTGCAGAACAGCCCAGCAGACCGTGCTAGGAAGAACAATCCGAAGAGTGCTGTGTAGTACTGGCAAGTCAATAAATAAATGCTATGCAGGCTAATTTCTATCAGCCTGGCAGATGTTCTCACATAAAGGTGCTAGAGGGCTTTTCTGGTTTTGGAATTTTTTTGAGCTGTCAATTGAGTCAGCATTTCCAGAGGAAGTAAACAGTGCTTCCAATCTAAAAATCAGGTAAGTCTCAGGGTCAGTGGTTTTTTTTTACTCTGCAGTAAAGTGATTGGCAGTGACCGGTAGGTATCAGATGTGAAACTACAAAAAATGAAGCAAGGAGATGGAGTATATGAAGGTGGCATGACTTGATACACCTAACCTTAATAAAATGTAAACGTTCTTATTTTTCAAGACAATATTCCCTATTTAATTTTCAAAAATCTTGCTTTTTTTTGTGCAGGTATATATATTTCATACTAATTAAACATGTGAACTCTTTGAATATTGGCAATACTTTTTGTCTTAAATACGCCAGACTATTTTCCTTGCTTGCTGAGGATGCAAGCTGTTCTGTTCAAGACCAAAGAAAACAACCAAATTTTGCAGCTATAAGCCTGCTCATAGGAAGAGACACGTCAACGTCACATCCGCCCCATTCTGTATGGCAGAGAGTATAGCTGAGATTTTCCAGGTGACAGAACTAGAGCACATAACTAGCTGTTTGCCTGCTGTTAAGGCTTTTCTAAGAGTACAAGCATTAGTGCTGAAATTAGCAATTTAGCATCACCAAAGAGCCCCTCTTGCATGGGGAGTGGGGTCACAGCCTGTACCCTCCTGTTTTGGGGGCACAGCTTTCTCGATGGAGTGTCTCCCAAAAGTCTTTCACTGCTGGCTCAGGCTAGGATGGCATGAAGGTTCCTGCCTCGGGTAGCAGCCCTGGGACAATGAGCTTTGCTTCCAAAGAACCAATAGAGAGAAAATTATGACTCGTTTCATGCAGAGCATCAAAAGGACAGTGACATTTGGTCACTGTAGCTGTGGGCTGAGCTTGAACAAGTGATCCAGAGAAAGAAGGCTCAGTACCCTCTGATTCATTAACTCCCTCGGAATGATGGTCAGATGTCACATACTGTAAGCGCACCCTTTGTAAATCCCCTTCCCGGATGACTTCATTAAAATTCCGAAGCACAGAACATTTCAGATTTTCTGCAGTCCTTGCCTGACTTTGCTCTATTAAGCATCACACTACAGACCACAGGGAGAAGGAGCAGGGATGCCTATCATGCAGCAGTGTCCTTTAGTGACCTCACACCATGACTGAAGAAAACTGACTTCCAGTTTACCAGCTGTCAGCACATGCTTTCTGTACTAAACCCTTCAGGAAAAAAACAAACCACTAAAAACAACAACAACAACAACAACAAAACCACTAACTAACCACCTCCCCCTCCAGCCCAAAACTCCTTTAAGATTTCCCAGAAATCAAAACAAATTATCCTAGTCCTTCACTGCATACTTTCCTCTGCTTCCTAACTGGACACAAGACCTGGAAGCCACCAGTTCTGGCCTTTGCCTATTTAGCAGCAGATGTACAGACAACATTTATCTGCAAAATAATGTTATGTCTCTTGCTTTATGGCTGGAGATGGGCTTGAACAGCACATCAACTCTGCAGAAACACAGAGGGATACCTAAGTGACATATGGCTCACACCTTCAGACTTGGCATGTTAGTTTAAAACCTAAGCAGAATGCCTTCTCCCTATATCTTCTTTAGAAACAGAGACATAATCTTTGAAAAACCAAAATATGATAGGGATTTTGGAACCTGAGTCAATGAGAAAGAGTGCTGCATAATAATTTGAGTAAATAATAAGAAATGTCAGTAGGAAAACATCCATTCTACAAAAGATGATAATCCAGTCAGTTCCTAAGGAATTACACAAATATAAGGCAATCTGTTCTTTGTATATTTTAGAATGCTGCAGAGTTTGACAGAGGTGTTTTAAGACAACTGTTGGCATCCTGCTAGGAGATAGCAGGATCTTTCCTGATTGTGTATCTCTTTCACGTGAAAGAACAATAAAATTCATGACATTTGCTTCTAATACAGTTATAAAAGCCTCTAATGTGTGTGGGCTTCTGCATTTTGCAGCTCAGTACAAATGTTACTTATTACTTTACTCCATGTTTGGTTTGCTGATAATTTTTTTTTTTTTGGGGGTGTCAAATCACTGAACTCCCTAAAGTGTATTAAAGGCTTCCACTTTCTCTCTGGTTATGATGTCTTTATGTTGTAAACTCTAAGCAGACCTTATTTTTTCTTGTCGCCAGTTCTACACTGTAGAGGTTGATTTTGTAACTCAAATAAAACTCTAATCAGAAATGGCACAGGCAGAAAGTGAACGGAATCTTTGAAGAAACAAAGAGACTTTTTTGTGCCATCATCACAAGAAGTGAAAGCAGTGCTTCGTGTCTCCAATCCGCTGATATTTATACCAGTCACTTTGAATAGTCAACAGTACTCGAGATTGGTGGAGTTCAGATGCTCTCTGCTCAAGGAAAGGTCAACAGCCCTTTACAGTGTCCAGGCCACCATCAGGGCTCAGAGCTGGGAATAACAGGGACTTTGCAATGCCAAGAGCCTCCAGGGGCACTTAAAGGGTTTTCTGAAAGAGTAACACTGTGCGCGTCCTGCGACAGGGAGGTACTGTAGTCATCACTACAAACCAGATTCTACACAAGTTACACACCCAAACAGAACAAAACCCTCCAGGAATTAATCAAAATGGGGGGAAAAGTGCCTCCAACTTCTGCCACGTTATTTTCAAGATCTTGCCACTTCTTTCCTCACCCAGTCCAGAGTCACAAAGTCTTAATGATTTTACATGTGTTTCCTCCCTCAGTCATCCACTTTACACTTCATTTTACATTGCCCCACATACAAAACTGCTATTCTTTGTTTATTTCACCCAAGCATCTGCCCAAGGACTGTTTTTACAATGCTCAGTCAAACAGGGCCCAACCCCTGACTGAAGGCCCTTGACACTGTTGGTAAAATAGGAGTAATTTGTCATTTATTGCTTAATATCTCCGAGACACCTACACAGATACAGCTCAGGAAAACAGCTATTGAGTCTGAATAGACAGAAATATCTTAATGTAACATCCAAAACATTTGGCTGAATAACCTTCATTTATACTTACCTTACTTGCGTTAAGGAACAGAGATTATATCTTCTGCATTTTAGATAGTCATGTTTCTTGTTTTAATTAATGACACATCACAGGAATCATGAGAGTGATGATACAATTAGATTAGCAAAAGCTAAGAGGATACAATAAAGAAAGCAACAGGCTGATGATGAGAATTAGGATAACAGAAATGCAGCAACAGTCAGTAAAACAAAGCAGAAAAAAGAACACAACTAACTCGAGTTGTGCAGCATGGTGGAAGCCTGTCAAATCAAACAGCGTGGGAGAAGGATCTGGTTGAATCAGGCAACCACAGGATGACAGCGTGAAAAGATGCCAGTGTGAAAGAGGAAAACTCAAGTGACATCAGGAAAGGTTTCCAGGAGAAAGAGAACAAGACTTCAGCAGCTGTGAGACACACAGCTGCACTAGGGCCTCCTCTGGCACCTTGGATAGTCTCCTCTATTCAACAAAGGTCATTCACACTGGAATAGGCACAGAAAATGACTATTGAAATTATCAACAAAAATGAGATGTTACAACAGGGGACTAACAGACTTGGTCTGATTAACCTAGCAAATCAAACCTGAGAGGAGATGAAGGTACTTGCTACAAAAACAGTAGAAAGAACAGAAGAGGCAAGAACTGTTTTAGTTAGAGAATAATGTTGGCACAAGAATACATGTGCATAAGTTGGCTGCAAGTTTACAAAAAAAAAAACCTTGAAAACATTCCTGGCAATTGGAGCAGAGAAGTTTTGGAACAGCATTCTACCTGCAGTATTAGGGTGCAAACTAGTGTTGAGATGAGTCCTACAAGAAATGTTTGCATGCTCTGAAGGTTATGGGGAAGACACTTGTCTAGAGGGCTCAGGAAGCTTCCACTACTGCTGTGTCAGTATCAGGTTCTTTCTCACCTGCAGTGACAGGAAAGAGAGTGATAGTATTTTCATGCCTATATAATATTACTAC